ACAGCTAATAATTTTAAGTCCAATGCTGGACTTAGTTACATGGTTAGTTTGTTACAATAAAAATGAATTCCTATAAGAGTGTCACCCAATGGGGCTTTAGCATGCTTTTATCTTCCCAAATAATGCTGCCAGTTCTACCACTGTTGGCATGATCAGTGTACTTGTCTCTCTTTGGATGGTTGCTTGTATCTTCACTTGGTTGTAGGACTGTATAATTTCGATCTAGAGCTAGACTTGAGTATAATTCTAAATAAAATACCGTATTTCTGGCGTATAAGACGACTGGGCGTATAAGATGACCCCCAACTTTTCCAGTTAAAATATAGAGTTTGAGCGAGAGAGAGGGGGGGAGAGAAAACGTGATGAGTAATATGCCAAACCACATGTGTAAAGGAATAAAATAGAATACCCGTATTTTCTGGCGTATAAGACGACTGGGCGTATAAGACGACCCCCGACTTTTGAGAAGATTTTCAGGGTTTAGGAAGTCGTCTTATACGCCGGAAAATACAGTAGATCAAATGATGAAATTATGGTTTGTGAAGAAATGAACTGGACTGAAGCTTCAGAGAGATGGATCTTTTTTTAGTCAGATTCCAGCCCAAGATATACTGAGACAGCACTGATTGGATTGTGGATGACCTCTTCTAAAATTGGGACATGGGTGATAAAGTTCTCTTGATCCTAGCTGACTTCTCAATATTTTTGATACCATTAATCAATGGGAAGGAAAATACAGGAGTTTTGCAAGATTCTGCTACTATAACTATCTCAATAAACTTCGTTCTACTCTTTTTGTAGAGTCAGGTTCCAAAGCTGGTATACTTTGCAGGGGTTATAGCTACAGCTGGTCCAGAATGTGCTGTGCTAGCAGTTATGGGGGGGTTCTCTGCAATACACTTGTTCCACAAGCTGCATTGGTCATCAGTGGATTTCTAAGTGAAATTCAAGGTACTGGTTGTCATCTACAAAGCTCTTTGTGGCTCAATTGGCTACTTATAGGGCCACCTTTCTCCAATATTCTCTCCCATCCTAAAAGATCTGACAAGGTGGGTATGATCCAGGTCCCATTGAATTAACAGTGCCATATTGTAGGAAAGCACAGTCTTGCATACTCAGTTGCTGTCCCTGCTCTCTGCATTATCATTTCTGTAGAGATTTCTGATATTTTGTGATATCTGATTTTTTTTTATATTTCCTTGAGTTTTTGATTTGGTGGCCTATAAGTTCAATAATATAAAATAATACATCATGACCAGAACAAGTGACTTGAATCAGTCTGTTTTATGGCTGGCAATAATTTCTCAGAATTTCATTTTGGCATTTACCCAGCCCTTGTTGGAAATGCCAAGATTCCAAGCTAGTGCTCTTCTATGCTGGCAAACATTTAAATAAGCTGGAGATGGGCATTACACTTAATTATGGGACTGAGTATTTACTGGACTAAAAATTTCATGAAGACCCCATTGTTGCTGTTAGGAAGGAGATGATCCATACAAGGGTTAATAAAGGGACTAAGAAAAAGTGTGCTGATAGAAGTTTATTGGTTCATCTCCATTCTCTTTACCTGCAAGCCCTCAATGGATTCTGCTATATAGTAGACATGTCAAGAAATGCTTTTGTAGCAATGCTCTACTTGTATGGGCACCATATTGTTTCTCTTTCTGAAACTGTACTTGAAGTCTACAAATCTTTTAACAATGTCTCTTCAATAGTGTATATAATTATTTGCATCTTTGTATGAATGCAATAATGTTCTGGGATAGTTCCTAATCAAATGCAACAAATGCAGATTGCATTTCTCTATCCATTGGTGCATTATTGGATGGAGTATTTAATCTGGTAAAATTTGGGGGGCATTTAGTATTCCTATGTGGTTTTTTAAAAAAAGAATAGGGAAATTCTGCTTTAATTTTCCTGTTGCCCAGCTGTGATAGTGGCTACTTTTTGTGGAGCTCTGTAACATCCTTCAAAAATTTGATTTTACCATTCTTTGTCGTTCTAGTGAGGCAACACCATAACAACCGAAGCAAAATTATGTGTATTCTATAGCCAGATACTGCTTTAATTGTTGAGTGTTGAAATCTTGGAATGAAAGTCTGTCAAAATATTATGGTCAGGCAAACCAAATGAAAGCTTAATTTTTTTATTAGGGACATTCAAAAATATCATGTTAAGGAATGGGCCAGCCCTACTGAAATGCTTACATCTAGTTTTATAATGAATTCCATTTGTCTTGTACAATTGTTCAGATTGCCATAAAGCACATACTTCAACCCATTTAATCTGCAGTGCAAGCCTAAGGCATTCATCTCCAGTACTTCAGCTGATCTCACTTCCTAGAATCAAAGAGTAGCTGAAATGGAACAGGAGTGGAAAGACAGCTCTATAATCAGCAAACAAAAGCAAACTACACTGCACACATACACACATACCTCTCACTTTTGTTCATCTCTTAGTGGAGAGGTTTGGGAAACCTTGGGGGGGAGGGAAGCAACTATATTAAAAAAGTTTGCAAAAATAAAAAACAAGGCCTCTATCTATCCAAAAATCGGAGTTGGACTTTTTACAGCCTGCCAGTGATGCTTTTCTGCAGGTGTCATGCTATGGTCAGGTATGTGTTTTGTAGCAGATTCAGGATATTCCCTGAATGTGGTAGAATTCATTAATGATGAGAAAAACATATAATTTTTTAGGCAAAAAAAATGTATGTACGTAGTGTGTGGTGTATTGCTGATTAAATGTGCAAAGATGGGTACTGTTAGGTTTTTTTTACCTCAAGTTTATAGAAAGTGGGAAAATATCAAGAAATAGATCTTGGCTTCATCTGAAACCATGGGATACATTGAGTGAGCATACTTCACTAGTACTCACACAGTAGCACTTCCCTTTCCTTTTTTCCATTGTACACCTACCGGATCTATTTTTCGATCTGACTCAGATTTGGTTTCATGTGTAAATGCAAGACTGAACATACTTCCTACTGATAGGGATGGATGTACTTGGTTTTAATCTTTTATTTTGCTTTTTTTTTTTTTTACTAGGAAAAGGATTTAAATCATACCTATTGATTTTGGAGTTAGAAAGTCTATCATAATTGTTTTTGGTCTAGTATCGAACTTTGCATGTTCAGTACTCGAGAGATTTGTACAGAGATTTGATAGCTGTTGGGGGCATTATAAAATCTACATTACATCTTTGAATGCCATAAAGGTAAAAGCAATTGCATTAGAAGCTGTCTGCGATAAAAAGAAAATGAAATAAGGTATGGTAAGTAGGATTAAATGTAATGTAGCTTTGAAAATACATGGGTCTCCGTTGAGTTTCCATGAACCGCTGTTTCCCCCTAGTGGCTGCAAATGAGAAATATTATAGTTTAAATCAGAGATAGTACGGTATTGAAAGCTGAGCCAGACCCCCCCCCCCCCCAATGAAATGCTGTAAGGGCAGAATGCATTAGGCACTTATACAGTCATTATTTTGCTACCTATTAGTGCCAATGCAGTTCAGAGATTGTCAGCTCTTCATTTATAAAACACAGTTTTCAGAAGGCTTGAACTTGGTTATTAAAAATCATACTGTGGTTGAAACCTGGCAGCTTAATAGCACTTTCAGGGAAAACCATGTGGTGTACACTGCAGATTTTCATTACCAATAATGCACAAGACCTGGCAGAATCTTGACAGGCTTTACATATGCAACTGGATCCCAAACTGCTCTTGCTCAAGTGAATAGCAATCAAGCTTTTCCTGTCAAACAGGATTTGCAAATTTCTAAAAAAAACCTAAATATATATATATGAAGATTAAACTAAAGTACTCACCCTTTAGATAGACTGAATCAGTGGTAGGATTCAAATATGTCAATAAGCGATTCTCTGTGTTGATGCCGCTTCCAGAAGTCCATTCTGGGCCTGGGCAACAAAAAATTAGCTACACATTCTGTTGAAATGGTGCAAACTGGCAGAATCCCATCACTGAACTGAATGCATCAGGAAATCTTGTTAGAACATCTGTAGCTTATCTATCTGGTTACCCCATTCATGAATGTCTTCCTTTTTTAAAAAAAAAAATTAAATCAAGGTTCATTTCCTATTACCAGTTTCTAAAAGGAAATCATAGAGAACTGAACAGGAATCCAAGAGATGTGAATTAAGCTGATTTAAGATAATGTAATTGAAAGAGTATTGATTTCCACAGTGCCCTAGATGAAATTCATTTCCTTATTCTTGTTAAATGGGCAGTAAATAGAATTACTATTCCAGAATAGGAATATGTTAGTAGTTAAGAAACTGAATGTCACCTCTTTCTTGTATCAATAATTCATATAAACAGTTTTCCTATTTGCACTTAGTATCTTGCTGTGTATATGTTTTTGTGTATATTTTGTGTATATATATATGTATATGTTATATGTTATGTATGATCGCATATAATAAAAAAGAAACAATATTCCATGCTATATTATATTGTACTTCATTGTCATATAGGCCATCTCCTTAAAAATAATTTTGAAGATTTATATGTACTTAGTTTCTTCATTATAAGATCTATATCGTGTATGACTTCATACAGCTTATATAGCTTATAGCTTATTTTCTTTACTAAGTTCAACTGGCCTTTGGATCACTGTGAACCAACTATTGTGGAGTCATACAGCTGGTAATAGCACAAGCTATTTAAACAATAAAAAGTTGGAAAAGAACAATCCAAATCTATAGAACCATACTAAAAAGGAATACAAGGAAATAACTTTTATATAAATTGAAATTAAATTCACAGAGCAGGAGTAATGAATTGAAAGCCAGCAAAAGGGGGGGGGAGCAGATTAACAGTGCACATACATACATATGTACAGTGTTTGAGAAGTTTTTTAAGGAACTGTTTGCCAAAGGGGAGGATATTTTAGCTTCCCAAGAGTTACTGCCAATCAGAAACATATTAGTTAAAAAAAACAAGTGAACCTTCTCATAAGGAAATGGACCTTTCTCTTTCAGATGGGCAATTAAACATGAAGGAACAAGTAAGCCTGGTCAATGGAAACAATCAAAAGTGGAGAATCCTTTATGGAATAAGTTGACCTATATGTGGCCTGTGCTTCCAAATGGAGAATTAAACCAGGTAATTTCTTTGGGGGTGGTGGTGGTGGAATAGACAAATAGACAAACGTGCACGTATATGTGAACTTTATATATTTATTGGAGATATTTAAAATAAGTAAATACATAATAATAATAATAATAATAATAATAATAATAATAATAATAATATAAATTGCATAATAAAAGTAGATGCATAATTCTTGAAATCACAGAAGGCTTCAGTAGAGAAGCTCCATAGAAATCTTCTACCCAAGGGAGCCATTTGACAATAAAATGCAGACTTCAGGTCACATTAAAAACCTCTACAAGAGTCCCATAAGTTTTGAACTGGTTTGCAATGCAGTCTAAGGAATTGTTCCCTATGGTTAATATAAACTGCTGTCTATCAAAATACAGCAATGGCCATTCATTCGTCTTTGATTATTATTACCTTTCTTAAAACCTTATCCTAAACTTCATTGCTGATTGTGAAGAATTCTTAAAGCTATTGGATGTGTACAAAGCAATAATTTATAGTGTATCTGTTTTGTAATTTTCTTAGCTTTCTGCTGCATTCTGGAAAATCTGTTTCAGGGTATTTTTTTTGCTTTGAATTTGTTGCATGTGTAAGTGCTCTTAAAAATAAAGCTGGCCGTCAACATGAAACTAATACTCTAAAATATTTCTTTCATCCATGTCTACATTATTGAATTTTTGTCAAAGTAAAGAGCACATCACAGAGAAGAATCATGTTCATTGCAATTATCATTGGGAGCTTGCTTTATAAGAAAAAGGGATCCTGAACAATGGGAAAGGACAGATTTTTATAGGGGTTGAGGGTTACAAGGTGGGAAATCCTAGGCATCTGACTGGCTGGCTAGTTTGAGGAAGTTGGCAGGTCAAAGTACCAGGGGCAAGTTCTATTGTCAGGCAAAGTGGGCCTTTTATGAAAACAGTAGAGTTAGGGAAGCTCATTGCTAAGGAGGTGGCACGTTGAAGTCATCAACTGATATGGAAGATGGAAGGTTGGGGATTCTCTGGGTTCCAACTTTCTCCTTAGGGCTGCTCTTTGGGTATACTGTGAGCTGATGGGGAGGCTTCTATTCTTTGGTCTAATGGGCTTCCAGAGAAGTTTTGTCTGGGGCAGGGAGGGTCAGTTGGGATCTAATGAGATTAGGTAAAGAGAGGAATTGGGTTTGATCTTTGCTTGATAAACAATCAAATCAACAATTATTTTAGAGTCAAATTTATTTCTTTAACATCTATATGCATGAAGTATAAATGAAGTTATTATATACCTATTTATAGTTTTGTACTCACACACAGCAAACTAGATGACACCAATTCATATTTTATGACACAGAATTCAACTGTTTCATTCATAGTTAAACCTATACCTTCATTCCCCTGAATGTTTTCATCATCTCCACTCCACAATACCAGACTATCTTTATTCATATCTATTATATTCTCCCCTATTGTCTTAATTTCACAGACATACAGTTCTATTTTCCTTTTCCATTAGTTAATTCTGGCTCTTTACCATTTAAACCTTTTATGTTCCAAGTCAAAATCTTTCATATATTATGATCATCACTAGAAGGGCCCATCGGTATTGACCCCCATCACAATCATCACTTTGTTCAATCAGACTTTGATATACTGTTCTACAGTAATGTATTGATTTGTCATTCTTAGTTATACCTGTGCTACATACAGGATTCCCTACTACTGTAATATTAAGAGAAACTTTGATCAATGTTGGCATATTTAGCCAGCATGTCATGCACAGAATTAAACTCCAGTTTCCCAGGTGACCTGGATTTATCTTTATCTCATTTGTGAAGACAGTGTCATTTTCCTGATGAAAATAAAGAGGAAGCAATATTTGCCTCAGTGAAGGTCTTCCTGTTGTAGAAGCCTCAGCTAGCAGTTCCAATATCCAGAAGGGGTTTCTCCCTGTGGTGGGATTCAAATATGTGAACAACTGGTTCTCTGTGTGGATGCCGCTTCCAGAAGTCCATTCTGGGCCTGAGCAACAAAAAAATAGCTACCAGTTCTGCCGAATTGGTGTGAACTGGCTGAATCCCACCACTAGTTTCTCCTATATATGTAGCACAACATGGTAGTTTCATTTTGTTGTTGGAAAGAAGCATATTGCCTCACTTAAAACATTACTGAAGCATAGCAGCCCTTCAAAGCTTTTCATAAACCTAGTAACATTTGTTGATTAGTTTTGAGAAGCAAAAGATCTTATATGTCTGAAGTTGTGGTTTAATGCTTTTGGTTTTCTTTTCTCTAATTGTTCAAACACAGGATATAGAATTCAGTAGTTTCATCTGTTGCTTTCAAATATACATGTGAGGAACCACGTTAACATTCTGCCTCACACAGTATTTCTCCTAGGCTGATTGTAATCTATGTAGCTGTTCAACTGTCTGTGAATTTTAAAATAACTCTGAAATGTTTGAACTTTTAATTATTCATGGCTGAGACCTATCTGCAGAAGATTTGATGTACTGTATTTGCTGGCATTGTTACTTTTGCTATTCTTGGCCCTTTTAACCCATATTCTAATTCCATGTGTGGAGCTCTTTGTCTCCAAGAAGTTGAATTATTAACATTTTTATAATACGTGGCATTATAATAATTACATGGAATCAATATTTATTTTTGTGCTGAAAGGCTTTTGACTGGCCCATTGAAGGTCTGCTGATTCCAAACAGCCCTCCACTAAAGAAACCTGCTGGTAGGAAGCCAGAGATCAACATGCCTTTGAGACTGAAGGTTTTGAGAAATGGCGAGCCAGACAAAAACAAGGCCCTCTCTGTTCTTGGACTTGACTCTGCATTTGTGATAAGAAAACAGTAAGAACATAGTGTTTCTTTTTCTCATATACGTGTAAATGTCTTTATGTGTACGAATTAAAATCAAAGTTATATGAACTTTGCGAGTAACTATACCTTTTCATTTACCTCCCCTTTTTTTTAAAAAAAAAGTGAAATTGCTGAGATAGCTTTCAAAAACAACAATGAGGAAAATATGAATTCAGACACAAGTCCCACGATTAAATTAAACAGCTAGCTATCCGTCTTGATCAGAAACATAATAATTTATATGCAACCAGGGCTTTTTTTGTCATAGAATGCCCAGAAAGGAGTTCCGACACCTTTTTTGGATGGAACCTTGTAGGGTAGGCAAGGCGGGTTGTATGACGTGTGTGAGTTCTGGCACCTTTTTTTTTTTTTTTTTTTTTAGAAAAAAAGCACTGTATGCAACGTTGTCACTGCTTAGGCAAATTAGGCCAATCCTGTACCCACATATATTTAGATCTCCATTTTAAGAGACTGGTTTAGAAGTGCACAGTAACTCTTGTCCCAATGGCCTATGTCTTTGGAGATATTATGTTGAATAACATTGAACAGATTTTTGTTCATTCTGATTAATCTTGTCCATCATTGCTTTAATTCAATAAAGGAGAATATCTGTAGCTCAGAGGTCCTTGGTGTTCTCTGAGCTTGGTTGTTTTCTTGCAGACATTTCATTAACCAAACTAGGTAACGTTAATTCAGCAAGAGAAATTTCTGTGTGAAACTAGGATCTAACATGTTTCCAGAGATTGCTATTACAGCTTATATTGTATCAGTGAGAAGCTAATGTATTCATATATGTATTTATTACAGCTCATGGCAGTGTTTATAGTGTTCCCACTTCCTAATTTTCCCCTAGCAACAATCCTGTTAAGTAGGTTGGATTGAGAAGCAGTGACTGATACAAAGTCACTGAGGGAGCTTCTGTAGCTGAAGGTGGATTTGAACCAGTGGATCTCCCTGGGATTATTGAAGTACTATACCAGATGGATTGTTCTAGGACAGGGATGTCAAACTGCGGCCCGTGGGCCGGATGCGTCATTGCTGGCAATGGAAAAAAAGTCGCGATACATTGCAACACATCACATGACATTGCGAGTTTGACATCCCTGTTCTAGGATATCTTGCTATCTGAATAGGAATATATAGCCTCATCCACAATATTTGATCATGAGCATAATCTTAACATGGTCTTAAAAAGCAGTGGAAATAGGACACCTAAGAAGTCTGTATAGTAAAACAAGACAATATAAAATTAGGAATAAAAAGGGATTGAGTAAATGTGGACTAGATATAAAAGAGAGTGACTGGCATAAAAGTAATATATTGAGTTGCTTCGCTATATAGAGAAAATAAATGAAGATAGCACTAGAAAACAAATGTAGATGAAATGAATTAATGGGTTAAGAAGAAACAAAAACTGAAAAAGTTGGGGTTAAATGATATCCATGAAATCCTGACTAAACATTTTTAAAGAATAAAAATCAATATATATACTACAGGCAAGGATGGTTTGCAAAAATGTGTATTGGTGTAAACTAGTTCTAGCTGTGTTTCCTTTCTCTTACTTTATGATTTAAATTTATTTAGATTATTATTTCATCCTTATTTTAGTAATTTCAGTTGCACCATAAGTTAAATCCTATAAACTATAGTTACATAGCTATAGTGAGCAAACCTTTATGTTTCCTGAAGCAAAACACTAACAAATCCATAGTGCTCAACAGTGGCCTCAAGCAGTGAAGCACAAATGCTTATTGCTCTGTGCTTAATTTTATAGCATTTATTTCAATTCCATTCCTCAACATTATTGCTATAATTCCTGTAGAAATCTCATCTTTTTAAGAACATCATTTCATTGGTTGAATTTTTATTCCATCTACTCTGCTGAAGTCTCTTTATAAACAAAAATATAGTTTGAAGCAGCATAACATCATAATTGATTAATTAATATTTATTTTTAGTGTTTTAAATTTAACCATTTCTTGTTCTCTTTGACTTCATGTTTCCAACTATCTTTTTCTCTATATACACATTATTGATATTTTGCTCTTATAGCTGCCAACTGCCTAGAGTTTGTGAATAGGTGACATACAAATGAATAAATAGCTTTTTCTCATCCTCATGTTTCATCACAATCATTCTCTTATATGCATTTTTCTCATCTACAGCTCCTTTGACTTCATTATTCTACCAAGCCACTTTTTTCATACTTCCATATCCTCTGCAATACTTCTTTTCTGTTTTTCCAACTAGGCTGTATATCACAGTTCATTTTGTCTATCTTCTACTCATTCTGTTGGGAGATTAATCAATCTCTTAATTCTTTTTCTAGTTGGGACTCATATTTTCTCTTTCTTTACTCATTCTATTGGAAAATGACTAATTTTGTTAGTTTGTACCCTACAGACTCCCAAACAATACCAACATCCTGATCATACCAAGCACATGCACCATTCATTTCAATTAACTAATATAGCCTAATGCTTGTTTATTAGACATCTGCATTTTGTAAGAAAAATAAACTGACAGTAAACAGGACAAAAGGCAAGCAAAAGCAGGGAAACAGAAAATTTATAGAACTTTCCAGAATCACTGGAAACAATACACGGGATACAGTCCCAAGGGAATGGCATTTAATTAGGCTAATCTTAATTCTTCTACAAAGAAGAGTAGAACTGAAAAGTAGGATATCAGACAATCTCTAGTTTGATGGAGATGATGTAGCCAACCATTTTACTTTCACTTTTATTTCTTTCAATTCTTTTTTCCATTCATCATTTTTCCCCAAGATACACCATTGACAGTGCAAAACACTGCTCTGTTTAGAACTGCTCCTATCCCCTATATCCATTACTGCTTATTTGATTTTCATCACAAAAATAAACTCAATCTTATCCTTAGATGTATATAATATCCGTTGCTATATGTAACCATTAAAAAAATTTATGCTTAAACTATGTATTTGAAACAGTATTTTTGTATGTAGATATTCACTAATCACCATTATTCATTCATGCTTGAGTCTCAAAATGGCTGAATCATTTTTTTCTAATGAAAAAAGTCATTTTTTTCAGATGAATACATATGCACACATATATACTAAAAAACCCTCCTTTTTACTATTTTTCTCTAAATAATAAAGTGATTATAATTATTATAGAACTTTTCATGTTAAAATTTTTTGTACTAATGTCTACTATATATAGTGGCTTTAGCTCAACATACTTTACAAAATTATCTACATTTCAGGGGATTTTTGCAATTTGTTTACTATCTCCTTCCTTGATTCATAATTCATAATCATGATCCTTATCATGATTTTGATATACTTAGTAATTACTTTCACTTCTCAGCTTGCTTTAGAGAGGAAAACAGAATAAAATAATTATTTCCTTTTGGAATTCCTGTTGATTATATTAATTATACTGAAGACTATGTCTCTGTTATTCTAAAAATGGCGATTAGATTTTAATTAAAACCTAAAAAGTTAAAAATACTCTGATACTTTTCATAATACATTTTAAAAAATCGATAAATGATAATTATTTTGAATTTATGTAGGTATATATAGGGGAGGAGAAGATTATATAAAAAGAAACAGCTTTCCATGATAGTTTAGTTTTAGAATTAAACAGTAATAGAAGAACAATAAGATCTATGATAAAGACTGATGATATATTTAAGATGAAACATTTCAAATTGAACAAAACCTTTAACTACAGTAGTAACGTATTAAAGTCTCGGATGTATAACTAAGCTGATCTCGTTCAAGAATATCACACTGTAATGCCTATTTCACATTTCTTCAAACCAATAGCCACACGGTTTTTCTTTTCTTTTATTAAAATAGGAATGAAGGATAGTGGGAGTACAATGTTCAAAATTTTAGCTTTCCAGAAATATTTGAGAACTACATTTCTAAAAGTTTATCTAGACATAAAGAACTTTACTTAAAATCATTTAGTTTGCCCTTTTGCTCAATAATGTCTGTAATCCTTTACTGAATCCATTTCTGTATGAAATCCTCAGTTTCTAGTAGGATAGAATATTGTATAACTTCATACATATAATATACTTTTATATTATCTAATATTATTGCTTTTATATCTTCATTTTATAACAGAGAACTGTGAATATTCATATATCAGTGAAAAGCTTTGATGTAAAGAATAAGTTAAATACCTCATTTCTCACATTGTTAGCAAAGATGTCACCTTTTAACCTTTCTTTTAAGCTTTTTAGAACATCTGATGCTTTTTTATAATGGTTTAATATTACTTTTTCAGATTGATTAAATACACTTCATACATCACTGAACAATGAGTAGCATTCAGATAGGCTGTCCGCTGAGCTGCCTGCAAAAGTGATACAGTTAAAAAAATAATCTTCAAAGTAAAGTCAAGCCTGAAATTGAAATCTTTGACGCATACATCTCATAATTAGTTCTCTCCCTGCCAGATCTAAAATGTGAATGTGCTGTTCTTAAAATTATTCAGATCTTTTTACATAGAAATTTAATGAATGGTATAAGCTTTTAAAGTTTTTTTTCTCTAGATCTGAGACAAGATCTATAAAGTTTTCCAAACTACCTTTTATAACATTTTTGAATTTCCATGTTTGGTCATCTAAAATCCTGCAGCTGGGTTTAATAGTTACATAGTTATATACATGAAAGCAGTGTGAAGCTACAATAAGACTTTTTCCCTACTGTCACTATAGCCGCAACTGAGAAGCTATTAATATTGGTACTACTTCTCTGCTCCTGGTTAACTTGATTTTGAGTTTGAAGAGAGAATTGTGACTGAAAAATGTTCTTCTACCTTTTTCACAACATTCCAATAAGTTTATTTTAAATGTAAAAAGTTTCCCATCTCTTTGTTGGATAGAAATGTCATTTATGTATATATTTCATTTATTTAGTGTGCACGAGGAATCTGGGATTCAAACAGCTGCTTAGGCAATTAAAGCTCTTGACCAATACAGTTGAGTTTGTG